AGATTGCCATGAGCACACATACCCTTTTATGGAGAAAGAGAAGAAGAAAATGTTTGCAAGAACACTTGCCTGATTTGTTACCCCATTATGGAAAAAGTGGTCTAACAATACTGCAAAGATTGGATATATAAACAGATAGATAACCATGTGAAAGAATTGCAGACACTGCAGCAGCTAATTGGCCCTGCATAAGCTACATATGCATTTGTTTTACATAAATTACACCACTCTTATCGTGACACGAGTAGGGCTCTCTCCTTTCTTACAGTCACAGATGCTGAACCATGCAAAAAGTATGTACTTTCACTAAGGAGTTTCTCCCTCAGGAAAGGAGTGTTGGATAAAGCCAAATATGTCAGCTAAATAATTGCTTAGACTTTTGCAAGTATGATTCAGTGAATCTCACCTATACAAACTGGCAGACATCACTGCACAGAACAACACAGACACCTAACTCTCCATTTATTGTTTTGAAATACTGATACTACAGCAACAGCATCCACTCTTTGATTTGCATTTAACTGTACAGATTGAGCTAGCTGATTTCCACTTGCAGAGAGAACACATGAATACAGTGTACCTGTGGATATAGCTACTACTGGTTTCACACAGTTTGGGCAGGGAAACACCACAAAACAGATTTGAAATTATTTGGTAAGTAAATTGATATGCACAAAGGAAGCAATTACTGCAATTAACACAAAGTCCGGGAACTGCCTGTCCAGAGGAAGTCAGAGAGGCACATCCTACACTATACAAAATCCAGTGGGGTTTGATTGCTTGACAAAGCACACGCACAATAGTAAATGCATGTCTAGACTGGTATCATATGTCAAAAACCCACAAATACTTTACTCAGATGTTTATTCTGAAAAGATTGAAGATATTTGCAGCAGAGTTTTGTAGGCCACAGACTTCTATGGATGATAGGAGTAGATATCTCTAAAACATCTGGTAGATTTCATCCTGTGGATCTGAACAGGCATGTGATATTAACTGCTGGCCAGGGAGTCATGCTTTATTCCTGAAGAACTGGATGCAGCTACTGACATTTCATTACACACAAACCACGGTATCAGGAAAAGGTTTATTTAAATTTTTAATTATTTACAGTAAGCACAATCAACCTAAATTACACAATATAGGTGAACTGTTTGTGCAATTCTGAAGAAAAAAAAATAACACTTTTGGCATAAGAATTCTATTTTCCATACACTATAGTAATTGCATTACATATATATATATTCCACTGACATATGGAATATAAAAAAACTGGAGAACACTTCAAAAATTCTTTAACCCATGGGCTGTAGGAGCCACTAATGAAGATGGTGTATGAACCAGTTTTGTTAATACTTCACAATGCTCCTCAAGACTTTAATCTCTTTGAAAATCAAAAATAACTGTAAAAGTATAGATCCATATAGTAAAATTTCATCAGCTAGAAAACAGGAATGATGTAGGATCTTCATTTTTCTTTGTTCTTACTTCAGGGAAACTTGGCATGACTCATGGAGTAATGTATCCAACAACTTCTTATGACAGTGTAAGTCAAATAACTTCAAATTAAGCTCTTCTGTTGTAACCAACGAAACACGCTGATATATCAATTTAGAGAAAATTTTATTCATTTAAAGCGGAATTCTGACTCTAAGGTTGAGTAAAGTTTCTCTGAAGTCAGTTAGTTTGTGAGAAAGTTCAAAGCTTACTTCTAGAAACAGTTTTTCACAAGTTCAGATGAAAACATTTGCGATGTGCAGTGGGCAGAAAAATTGTATAGACTAATCAAAATGTTCCTCTTTTGAGATTTAGCTCCAGATTAGTTACCATTCCTAGCAACTGCATAAATCTATCAGATAACAGCCTTTAAACTTACCAATTCAGCACCAGTTCTCTTATTCTGGAGTCAAGAGACATTAATTTTATTTAATGGAAATTTCTCATGGTGGAATCGCCACAGTCAGTATATGCTGGGATAGGCTAATTGAGAATGTTGCTTATTTCACTCTATTTTGCATTCTGCCTACAAATACGTGTTCACTTTCAATCACCAGTACTCTCACCAGTGCCTAAAAACATCTCTTGAAAAAAAGTAACAAACCAAATAAAGGAAATCAGAGGTATTAAGTACAACAAACATATGGTTACCATTTAGCCATGAAACAATACCTTATTTAAGGTCAGTTCCCTCATAATTATCATAGGAATAGATATGTCTCAGTGGAAAGATGGTATTTCTGATCTCACTATTTTTTCTGGGCCCTTCAAAGTCCTCAGACTTCAAATCTTAACCATGAAGGTATGCTTTAAGATAACCTTTAAAGCTTTTAAGAATAGGTTACTTCTAATTCTCCCTCTACCCAGTTTTTTTCATAGGTGGATTTATGCTTTTTCAGGTTGGGGTACAAAAAGATTACTACTTCTCAATCATGCATTAAAATTTTATTGTGTGCTTGGATAAGGAAACAAGAACTACAGCAATGGGAAAGCTCCTCTTCCAAAGTAGGAAAACAAACGTGGCATCTTTCATCTCAACAACTGTGTTTCTAATGCATTTTGAATATTAAACTTCCTACTTGAATTAATAAAAAAAAAAATGCAATTCTTTATTTCATTTCTGGTATAAAATACTTTCGGTGTGATGAATTGTCTTCCTAAGAATCTCTAGTTCGTTGTTTTTTTTTTTAATTCCTGACACTTATAATTCCCCAAACACAGTGAAAATAATCATACTGGCTAAGTTTCAGAAGACATAAATCAAAAGCAACACATAAGACAAAATCTGACTTTAAGCATTGGCAATGACATATGACTAGAAAAAGATCTATGGTGTTCCTACAGGAAGGACAGTTTATAAATTGCCCTTATAAGCTTAACCATGTTTCAAAAGAATAACCCAAAGGAACAGAAAATAAGCATACCATTATACAGAATGGTTTAATGGTTTTCTAAAATTCCACTATTTAAAGTACACCCCAGTTAAGCAAATGTATCACTAGTCAGTTAGTCTTTGCTCAGAATTAAAGAAAACTTTCAGAGTTTCCCTGAACCATGGGGGCTTCAAAAATGAGGAAAGAAACAGGGAATCTTTGCAGGAGAAAATAATAGATCTACTTTTTCCTGAATATTAGACATGATGTGATGCATTGAAAAGAAGAAGTTGAAAAATGAAAAAACAGTCAATAAGGAGGAGACTGAGCTTAAAGGTCTGGATTCTTTACCCATGGTCATTCGCATCATGAATAAATGTTGGACAGGTTTCTGAGTAACCTGGAAAATGAATAAAAGAGGCTAGCAAATGTTCTTTTTGTGAAACTTATTCAGACTGATTTCAGGAAAAAACATCTTACTAATCAAGCATGTTCAAAATACAGTAGTTAAAATAATTTAAACAGAAACATTCTTATTCATTCAAGAAGTAAACAAGGCTCTTGAGTCCACATTCAGAAAACATCAACAATTTAGGACACAAATTTAAAACAAGGTAAGCAAAGAACAGGCCTGCTTGATGGCAAGGTTTCTTCAGGACCAAATCAGAGTTAGATCAAAGCAACATGAAAGCAGACAACAGGGCCTCACCACAAAGTACCACTCATGCTACCTGCTCATGTTGACATGGCCACTAAAACAAAGCTCCCACAAAAGCTATCTAAATTCTGCCTTTTGGTGAAAGAAGCAGGGCTCGTACACAGCTTTAGTCCAGAAATGCATTCTAAGTGTGTGAAGTTGCATACAACTTCATGTGCTAACAGCTTCCAATGTATCTATTAAATTTGCAACACAGTAGTCTGGTCATTACCTTCTTTCCCTCATCATCCTTGGATATCTTATATACCTAAGTATTAAAGCATTTCCTCCTGCTCTTAAGCACTTAGTTACTCGATTGGTGATACCTTAGAAAAACAAAAACTTCCAACGGGAAAGGCAAGTCATTGAAAGGATGGGTACCCATTATATTTCGTTTTCAGTATGCTTTCCAGCACTTTGCTTTTGCTCTGAATTTGTGTGCTGTTGAGCAAGAAGAATCTTCAAAATGGGAATTTCTGAAGAACATCTGGATCATTCTGACAAGTCACTCATGGAGCTGGAGCCATGTTCAACTGCATCCTCACTGGCAGCGTTGTCGGGAACCTACTGGGCAGGACGGTGCGGAGAAAGAACGAAAATTCATTCCCTTATGTACTACAGGAGGCTTAGTCCTCTGATTGCCGTTTGCGCAACACAAAGAAAAGTCCTCAATCTGTTGCAAACCGTAACTATTGCTTTTTGGCAGGTTTCTAAATACAAGGAAAAAAAATATCGGGTGGGCAGACGACGTCTAGTTTACTTCTGTTCCCTTCCCCCTCCCCGATGAGCAGCTCTATCTGCAACCCATGTGGCCGGGAGGCAGCCACAGCCGGTTCCAATTCCTACTTTCCCACTCTGCGCCCCTGCTCGCTGCCGGGGCTGAGCCGAGCCAGGACCGGCTGCGGGCTTCCTCCCCCCGCCCCCCCGCCGCGCCGTCCTCCCTCTCCCCCGCTCCATCCGATCCTCCGGTCCCCCAGGGCACAGTGTGGGAAGTACGAATTTCCGCTGAGTTTTCTCGGCAACTTTCGGAGCTCGTCTTTCTCCCGCTCCCCGCTCCGCCCGCCGCCCCCCTGCCGTCCCCTCCCCGCCCGCCCCCTCGGCCCCTGGGAGAGCCGGCGGAGCAGCCCCGCCGCTCCGCTCCGCTGCGCGCCCGCCCCCCGCGGCAGCGCCGGCTCCGCCACCGCCGCCCCGCAGCCCGCGGGCCGCGACGGGCGGCAGAGCCCGGGCGGCGGCCCCGGCAGAGCTCCCGGCCGGCTCGGGCGAGCCCATGGTACCGGGCACCGCGACCTGCAGCCGCCGCGCCTGCCTGCCCGGTGCGGAGCTCAGCCCGGCGCGCAGCAGAGGAGGGGCCCATTAGCAGCCGCGGAGGAGGCGGAGGGGATGCCGGAGAGACACAAAGCCGGCGGGGGAAGCAGCCCACGGCTCGTCCCGGGATGGGGGCGCCGCGCCGGGTCCGCCTGATGGTGCTGCCGCGGGTGCTCTGGGGCTCCGTCCCCCTCATCCTGCTGCTGCTGCTGCCCGCGGCCGAACCCATCTGCCCCGAGCCATGCGACTGCCAGCAGCACCAGCACCTCCTCTGCACCAACCGGGGCCTGCGCTCCGTGCCCAAGACTGCCGAGCCGCAGGATATCCTCACCTACAGCCTCGGGGGCAACTTCATCGCCAACATCTCCGCCTTCGACTTCCACCGCCTGGCGGGGCTCCAGCGCCTGGACCTGCAGTACAACCGGATCCGCTCGCTGCACCCCAAGGCCTTTGAGCGCCTGGAGCGGCTGGAGGAGCTCTACTTGGGCAACAACCTGCTGCCAGCGCTGGCCCCTGGCACGCTCAGCACCCTGGCTAAGCTGCGCATCCTCTACGTGAACGCCAACGAGATCGGCCGCCTCAGCGCTGCCTCCTTCTCTGGCCTCGACAGCCTCGTCAAGCTGCGACTCGATGGCAATGAGCTGGGCTCGCTGGGCGATTCCACTTTCTCAGGGCTGCCAAACTTACTCTATCTGCACCTGGAGTCCAACCGCATCCGCTGGCTGAGTCGCGGTGCCTTCACTGGCCTGGCCAAGTTGCGCTTCCTCGACCTCTCAGGGAACCAGCAGAGCTCCCTTCGCCACTCAGACATCTTTGGGCCGCTGCGCTCCCTTCACACCCTGCTGCTGGCCAGCAACAGCCTGCGGCAGCTGACAGGGGGGCTCTTCCAGCACCTGCCCGGCTTGGCAAAGCTCTCACTCAGTGGCAACCGACTCTCTCACCTGGCCCCGGATGCTTTCAGGGGGCTGGGCTCGCTGAAGGAGCTGCGCCTGGAGGGGAACCTGCTGAGCCACCTACCTGCCACCCTACTGGAGCCGCTGGACAGCCTGGAGGCACTGGATCTGAGCCGCAATGCACTGACCGCCCTGCACCCGGCTGCCTTCCGCCGCCTCGGCCGCTTGCGGGAGCTCAGCCTGCGGGACAACGCACTGGCCACACTCCCTGGAGAGCTCTTCGCCTCTAGCCTGGCTCTCTACCGCCTGGAGCTGGAGGGCAATGCCTGGAGCTGCGACTGCCGTCTTCGCGGCCTCAAGCGCTGGCTGGCGGCCTGGCACTCCCAGGGCCGCCTGCTCACCGTCTTCGTGCAGTGCCGCCTGCCACCCGCCCTGGCCGGCAAGTACCTCGACTACCTGCAGGATGCCCAGCTGCCGCTGCCGCAGGACGGCGGCCCCTGCCCCGATGGCGCCTCTCCCTCCCCGCCATCCCCCGAGGGACTTGGTGGCAACAACAGTGCAGCGGGGCTGCCCCCAGGGCCACCGCCGGCCGCCTCCACCGCCCGCCTGACGATGGGGCTGCCCATGGCCGCCAGCCCCACGCCGGCACCGCTGCCCAGTGCGGCAGCGTGGCCCCGGCGGGCCGCTGCCGCCGGGATCCCGCCGCTGGTGTCCGACCCGTGCGACTTCAACAAGCTGTTCCTGCACAACCTGTCGGTGGAGGCGGTGGGCTCCAGCTGGGTGACGGTGCGCTGGGCCGTGCGGCCGCACCGCAGCCCCCGCCTGCTGGGGCCGGCGCGATTCCGCCTCCTCTTCGACCGTTTCGGCGCCGCCGTCAAGTTCCAGCGCTTCGTGTACCTGCCGGAGCGCGGGGAGCCGGCGGCCACGCTGCGGGAGCTCCGCCCGGACACCCCCTACCTCGTCTGCGTCGAGGGCGTCCTGGGCGGCCGCGTGTGCCCGGTGGCGCCGCGGGACCACTGCGCCGGCCTGGTCACCCTGCCCGAGGGCGGCACCGCGGCGGCGGCGGGCGGGCCCCGCGGCCCCGACCAGCAGCTGCTCACGCTGGTGCTGCTGGCGGTGAACGCGCTGCTGTTGCTGGCGGCTCTGGCCGCCTGGGCCGCCCGCCTGCTGCGCAAGAAAGTGCTGGGCCGTCGGCGTCGGAAGGCGGCCCCGGTCCACGTGCGGCAGCTCTACTCCACACGCCGCCCGCTCCGCTCCATGGGCACCGGAGTCTCCGCCGACTTCTCGGGCTTCCAGTCCCACCGGCCGCCCCGCGGCGCCGCCGCCTGCGCCCTCAGTGAGGCCGACCTCATCGAGTTCCCCTGCGAGCGCTTCATGGACAGTGGCGGTGGCCGGCACGGGGACGAGCACCTGCTGCAGCGCTTCGCCGACTGAGCCCGCCCAGGCCCCGGGGCCGCGGCAGCGCGGCGGGGGAAGGCGGAGGCCGGGCTGCGAGGGGACGGTGCGGGCCCAGGGTCGCGGCCTGCGAGGCGCAGAGCTGCGGCGCAGTGGCTGCGTTCAGCCGCCCTTGCTGCGGGCCGGGGCCGAGGCTGCCTGTGCGACGGGGTTGCGTCTGCTGGGACCTCGCCGTTCTGTCAGGAATCGTCACTAAAGCCGAGGAAAAGCCCTGACAGGCGGTAACGGTGCCTTGCCATGAGGAGCGAACGGCAGGAGCTACTGCCAGCAGCAGCCATTGCCTCTCAAGGAAGCTCAGAGCTGTAAATTTAAGTGTGCTACTTTACAGGTGGTTTCCTCCGACTGCAAGTTGGGAACAAGTTACAGTGAACGGCCTGGCCCTGTGTGAGGAGCTTTGAACAGGTCTTTCCGAGTCACCAGCCCTTCCTAATCAAAAATTTGGATCGAGGGTCATCTTTTCATTGAGCTGTGTGCAACCAGGGAATTGTCTGGAGGGCTGGAAATGTAGGGGTTTTTGCTGAATAGTTTGAAGGCTGTGTCGTTTCAACTCAAACCGATTGTGAGGCAATTTAATGTGCACAAATGTGCTTTTATACTTTTCTGTAAAGGAGAAACAATAATGCAGCTGGTTAGATCTACAGGAATATATTGCTGACACCACTAAGTAAAAACTAACAGATTTTTGTAGAATGTTTACAAATGAGCTATTTTTAAATTGTTTTTGAATAAATACTGCTTGGTACTTGTACACATTAATGTGTGCTGTAGCTGTCTGGGTCCATGATGGTCAGCAGATCACTGACCCTCACATAATCCATCTTCATTTCTAAATGGGTGAGTGCAGAGGTGAACTATTGATGGATAAATAATCATTGGTGCCTTACTTCAGGAACAATAATAGGTGAGAATATTTCAGGAATGTGAAACAATTTTTGTCCTAACAGGCAATTGTCTCTCAGCCTTAGCCTACTAAAGTTAGAAGCTTTATGTACCTCACTGTGAAATAAAACATTTTGTGTATTAATCTAGATTATGTGTTTTGTGTAGCTACGTGAGTAATGCTAGAGTTAAACCCTTATGCAGTAGTATATAATGTTTGGGTTGTTTTGGTTTGTTGGTTGTTTTGGGGTTTTTTTCAATTAGGAGTTTGCTTTTGGTTTCAGAGCAATGCTAATAATTTTATGGTCAGTTGCTTTCTACTTCTCCAACTTTTTTCTAAATATTTACAGAATGTGGTTCTGTTATTACAAAATATGGTGGTTTAGTTTACATTAATAATTCACTCTGTGTGGTCTACAAATGAGCTAGTTAAAGAGGTCCAAATCAGGATTGCACTTTAAATGCAAATGTTTTAGATGGAGTTTGTTAAATTGTTGAGACCATTGATACAACTTCTGCTCCTTTGAATTTAATGTGCAACCTCAGATGAACTCTGGTGGAACTGAATGGCTTGAAGGAAGTGTTATTGTGCTATGGAGACATTTGTCTCAATATCATGCATTCATTGCTGACCCGAGGTGTTCGTGACTACAAGTTGTTTATTACCATAATTGCAAGTAAGCAGCTAGGGGGGTTTCTCTTTTTTTTTTTTTTTCCCCTTTTCATTTTTTCAACTGAACAAGTGTTTACAAAAGATACCATAGTAACTGGTACCTTCAGTTGGAGTTCATTGACTGAATAGAGAGAAAAGACTTTGTGTTCTGAGGGAGAGAGTGTCGAGATCGTGTGCCTTAATCTTTGTCTTTTCTATGGCGAAAAAAAATTGAAGTCTTGTTTCCTGGGTCAGTAGCAAGAAATCCTTTGGGATTTCATTTTGACAGGCTGTAGTTTTCATGAATATCAAACTTGGTTGTCAGTGTATAGACTAAAATTCACTGCAATAGACACAATGGTGAATGGAATTAAAATCGAGGGAATTCAGTATCAGGTTTCATTTTTTGTTAAGAATTTAAAATTTCTGTTCTTTTGGACACCTGGGTGCTTTTGGGCGTTTGTGATTGTGGAATACACCACTGTTTGTTGTTAAAAATGCAGTGGGATTATTGAGTAAAGCTGTGTATCACACTAACGTTAGCTCTATCACTGGATATTCTTCCAATGGGAGATGCATAGATGCTGTACATGGTTATAGTCAATTGTCAATAAATCCATTTGCTGAAAGAAAATTTGTGTCTTACATTGTATCTCATAATGCATCCCTCTTCAATCATAGATCAGCTGTAGCTTCTTCATTTTATGAGCACAAGGACTGTGGACAGTGTCTCATAATTCTTTCATGTCTTTTTATAATACACAACGTCTCCCATTTTATTTTTAATATGTTTGTACAGTGCAAACAGTAAAATAACTAAAACAGGCAGTTCTGAAACAGAGGGACCAATGTCTCAAGATAGACTAATAAGGTCAGCACATCAGTGAACTATTGATCCTTTATGAGGAAAATTAAGAATGAGTGTTTGGGATCATATCAGTAGTTTATGCTCACTGGAAGTTACAGTTCTGAGGGTTTTTCAGTATTATCAGGCTAATGATGTCAATATAACTTGTTCAGCATATGCATGTTGTTCTAATTATGTATTCACTGCTTCTATTTGAATTTTTGCAAACATCTGGAGAAATGCTAGCATGGGATGGAACTGGCTTTTGGTTCCAGCCTAGGAGAAGCAGACACATAGATCTGTACAACAGCAGCAACAAAAAGAGTTGACAGAATGAAGCTGTTGACTTTTTAAAAGCTCAACTTCTGTAACTAGGAATACTTAGAGGCTTTGTCTGCAAATATTACTTGCAGCATCTTTGCAGAGAGGGAACTGTAGTAGCAGGTGGCTGAGGAAAGAAATGTCAGCGACCTTGAATGACTGAAAAATGTAAATATAGCATGGCTCCGGTTTTACCAGTAGTATTTATAGGTATTTGGGTCTTTTTTAAGCTAAACTCCTTTCTAAAGAATGACTGTAAAAACATCCCTTTCTAAATGGATGAATCTGCCCATAGTTTGTACTCCAAATGTTTATCCTTCTACCAGAAACAGATTTACTGCTGTGTCCTCTCATGGAATTCATGCAGCTCAGGTAAGAGTGAACTGAGTACTGTTCTGCTGAGTAATTACTGAACATGGTACATATCAAAGATTGAAAATCACCAAAATACTGCCCCATCAAATTAAGTGGACTGCTGCTGGGAGTTCTGCAAGAGGTACCAGGGCTTCCCTAGTGTCAGCACTACCTGCTCTGGTAGCCTCTCCCACCTCCTGCTCCCCCTTTTCAGTTCCTGACTTCACTTCATCCAGATGGCATGGTTGGCTGTGCAGCTGGAAGGTGAACTGTGAAACTGATCCTTCTGGAAAATAACCTTTCCTAGCACCTCCCCTCTTCCCTATTTTTCATCCAGCTCAGTGTCTTTGATTTTGCTTAACTCACACAAGTACTGGAAGTAGCAAAATGTGGGTGTGGAGTCCAGAGGCAGGAAAAAACAGTCAAAGATGGGAAGCTGCTTAAACAATCTCAGTCTTGACATTCAGTTTGTCCACAGTCTCAGAAAATCTAGCCTATTTACATTAGAGAAAAGTCCTCTGTAGGTGATATAACTTTACTGGAAATCCTTAATGATCTGTAGACTTGAAAATGCTTAGAACTGCATTTTAAGATCCTAGGAATATTGACATTACAGAACGGGGCTAGAGAGAAAAAAATCTTAAGAGAACAGAGGTACAATGGTGTCAGTGAATATTTGCATGTGGATGAATTCCCCTTGTTAAAAAGCACTGCTTGACTATAGGAGCCTCAATTAGCACAGTTAAATTTATAAAAATGTTGATCTCTTTATGCCATGCTGTTTACTTTTCACAGTGCACTGCAAGTGCCACATTTTAAAATACCATTAGCATTTGAACCTTTAGAAGAAGAGACTGGGTAAAGTATACATGTCTCTTCTGCCTTCTCTTTTCTGCTTTTCCTGGATGAGATTTGAAAAATGAGGATTTGGGAGGGGAAAAAAGTCTGCTCCAGGATATTTATTTGTCTACTCATCGGGATATTTATTTAACTAGTAAACTAACATTCTGTTTGTAGGGGATGAGTCTACAAAAATAATTTGTTTCCATGACAGTATACATATTTGTAGAAAAGTTCACAGTGAATGAGAGAAATACTACTGCTCCCACTGATTAATGTTTCTCTGGCCACCAAGGATGTACATATCTTGTGTAAAGTCCATGAGTGAAGCTTTGGTTCTAAAAGTTATTTTTAAAATTAAAATTAATTAATTAAATCAGACAAATTACGCAGACATAGGGATGTACTTGATTTTTTCATGTGGGCAACTCCTTTGTGACAAGTTGTTTTATAAATGTTGAATCTGTAATCTGATATCTTCTAAGTAGAAATGAGGAATAAGTATTAGGAAATTGTGTGTGCTTGGATGTTGGATTTGTTCTTTTTGCTCCATGCTAAATATAGCATAGTTTTGGCAGCCTGTCCAAATACTGCTGTTGTGTTTTTCTCCATAAAAAAAGTTGCTTTTTCTCAAGTGCATGCTTTAATTCCCATAGAAATTAAATTCCTGTAGAAAAATAGTCAATTGTCTTTAAACACAAATATTTATCTTAGTATCATTGTACATGACTTTATTTATAGAGATGCTCCTTGATAAGTCTTTTTAAATAAATTGATATCTCATTTGTTTTTACAAACAAGACCATAAGAATTAGAATTAATAATACAGTATGAATAAATAGTTGGAAGAAAACTCTTTCTAACATAATAGAGGTATTTACTAACAAAGAGGAATCTGACACTTTAAAAAGACTTTATGAGTTTTTATGCTGTGTCACACATCTCCTTTGTTGTTGGATTTTTAAAGCTACATTTATTTATAGTTTGATAATCTATGTTTAATAATTATATGTTGTAGAAATAAACTGTTTGTTGTCCATAAATGGGAAGACCATATAAATCTCAAAGACATACATAAATCTCAAA